CTAGTAGGCAACGTACAGCCTTGTACATCGGCAGCCTTGGCACAGTGACTACAGGACCTGGAGTTAAGATCCCAAGAGAAGTAAGGAATGTGCTGGTTTGGTGCCGTGGCTTTTATGTTTTTCAGTGAAAAGCAATCGAGCAGCCCTATGGTAACACACTGCTAGCGATGTGTCAGCATGCTGTTAAGTTTTGCTGTAGAAGAGTTTGTATAAACATTGTGTTTTCAATCCATTTGGCTGTTAAGAGACTTAATCATATAACTGCTAATGAGCGTTGTGAGAGTTGCAGATGGTTCTACGCTGCATTGTTGGTTTGGTTTGTTTGTCTTTTGCAGCAATACCTGTAGTTGAAATAGGAGTTTCTGCATGAATACATTTGCAAATTTACAGATTAGATAAAATATAACCAATGATGATAATTGTCTATTTTCACCATTTACTAGTGACCACAGGGTTTGAATTGTTCAGGTCAGAGAGTGAAGCCAAATCTCATCAGTTTTGTAGCTATTGTGCCTATATATTTACAGATTACTTCTTAATGCAATTTATTGATCAGTATATGCCAACTGGGACTTTCATCTTGGCATTCCCCAGGTTAAGAGGCAGTTAAGAGACATTTGCAGCGGTTTTGCTCCATCATCCTGGCATAAAGGTCTTGTGCCGAGGTGAGGCTGTAACCCCAGGTGCTTGGAAATACCATTTCTAAGTGCTGGTGGTTTTGTGGATACATACAGCTTCTGAGAGAGGCTTTGAGCAAGTTACAAGCTGAAGTCAGCCTGTGGCACCCATTCCTTCTGGCAGATGAGGGCTGTGGGAAGGGCTGTGGTTGACAGAACTGTGCAACCATCTCTTCAGCCTTTGGCAGAAATTTGGTGTTTCAAGGAATTCATCCAAGCAAACATGAAGTTTTCTGAGGAGGGAAAAGCACGCATGACATGCATCCAGAGTAGAGAGTAGAGTTTTCAAGAGAGACATCCTACTTTAGGAAGTTTACTGGTTTCTGTCTGGGCAAGATTTAGGAAAAGCAGCTTGAGGCCCTAACAAATTATTGTTGATTTCTAAAACTGAAAAAGCAAAAATACCCTGCTTCAGAAAACTATTGTCTGCTTTAAGATGAAGTTAACATTTTTTTCTCTAGAGAGTGTTCTTTATAGAAGCAGACAGTGTGAATGTGCGTGTACGTAACACACACAAACATACGGTGCCTGGACTGACAGTGTTGTCCATCTTAGGTTCACACATAATTATCCTCTCTTACTGTTTATATAGTAATTTTCACATCATGATGAGACACCTTCTTTGTAGGAGAACACATCTAGTTATTTTGGTCACCTTAGAATAACTTAGAGGTCAAGAAACAGTTTTATATATAGTTTCTAAGAAACATAGTTGGATTTACAGACATCACTGGTCTTACATAAAACAGAACTTTATAGTTAAGATGCCACCTGGGAACTATATACGGAAAGTATGAGAAATAAGGATATATAGTAACTTACATACGTTTTGTTAAAACTATATATTTCACATTTTTTTATTAGAAGCGGAACTCAAAATGAGAACACACAAAGTGTGGAGGCACTGGAAACATCAGTGCACCAAGTTACAATTAATATCAACATTCCTCAAAAGTCTGCCAAAGAAAGCAGTGTATCTGACTGAAGAATTAAATCAATATAGCTACCCGCTTCTGCTCTTTAACTGGAAGAAATTGAGAAACTGAATTGCCTAAACATCTATAATCTCTTACTTGAGGTCTGGCAGCCAACGGGGAAAAAAAGCTTATAAAACTGAAGCACAACTGATACATCATAAGAACTCTTTACAAGAAGCTTACAACACGGTTTAATAGCTACACAATCTCTTTAATAAATGGAATTTCCACTGATTATTTACAGGTTTCAGTGCCGTTAATCATCTTATTCAGTCTTTCTAAGACCCTCTGCTTATGTAAATAAGGATTAGTTGGAAAAGTTAATTACGGTAAAAGGAAAACAATTGTTTAACTTGGGATGAAAATGGCCTCTAGAGAATATGTGTTTGCTGCCTTCTACTCGCAGATGCTAAGGCAGTTTTGATTAGGACCTCAGATATTCCCAAAAGGTCTTTTTGGGGGGTTCTTGTACATGGTAGCGAGATCCAAACTAACTCCATAACCACTAAGCTGGGTACCAGAGGAGGGCTGACTGCTGTAGCATAGAATAATTTGGAATTCCAAGGAAAGTGTAAGAATTGAACAAAATGAGATGTCCAGTAATAAACAGTGTTCCCAAATCACATGGAAGAAGTAGTTGGAAGAATTAGCAATATATATTTTTATAAAAAAAAGAGAAAATTAGAGGATTAGTGTGTGTTTTGGAGGTGCAATCTATTTAAACCTGGTGTAATTGAAATAGGATTTTTTAAAAATTCTTTTTGAATGTGTTTGAAAAATCATGTTTGCAAAGTGTGTTCTGATCCCAGCAACCCTGGTGTAGATCAGAGAATGGGTGAAAAGTGCTTCAGATGGTCATTCAAGGTATACACAAAAAGACAAACCCTATTAAATATCTCAGTCTTCATGGGTGGGTGTGTTTAAGCTTCAGAGGTGGAGATTCCTTAGGGAAGCTATTCCAGTGCTGTATTAGCCTTACCGCCAGCTGTTATTTTCACTGTTGTCTGCCACTTACGTGAAGTACCAATGATTCCTTTTCTCATTCCAAAGCTATCCATGTATCTAAAGACTGCTATCCTCTTCCCAGGTGGCTTTTTCTTCCTCAGGTTACACTTTAACAGTCTTTTGAATCTTTCCTCCTAAGCCGTATCTTCTCGTACTCCGGTTACCATCACTGCTTCTCTGGGCTCTGCTTGGTGACCCACATCGTTGGGGTGAGACGTGGAAGGTCTTGTCCAAAATGGGGAGATGTGCTCCAGCTGAAACAATTCCAGTGCTAAACGAAGCGGAAGGGTTAAATGGTGCACTGCTTAGACCATCCTGCTTCCCATACTCTCCAGCTCTCTGGGACAGGGATTCTCTGGATTCACACAGAGCAGAGTCAGGCATCTGGAATTATTTCATGTCCCTTGAAATGAAAAAGGAATTGTGTAACACTGCCCTGCTGTGACTTAGGGTCCTTTTCAGGGGATTGCTTGGTGTGGAGTGAGCGCCACCTGGGGGTGAGGAAGCATGGAGCTCTGCTTTCGTGCTGGAAACCGAAATCCCCATGCTTTATTGGTGAAACGTTCTCACATGGATCAGAGCTCGACCCTGACCGGTACCGGACATCTGCCACTCTGGGTAGTCTGTGACCCACAGCAAGAGTTGAGGCTGCTCTGCCTGTCACAGCCTAAGGCAGGCGAGTGTGATGACTTACAGTATTATACGATCACCTATAAATACGCAGCCTCTGGGTGGCCTGTGCAGTTTTTGGAGGAAGCTCTGGACAACACAGGGCCAAGAAAAGGCTTGATCTGCTCTGTCCTGTCCCTCTTTCAGGTGCTTGAAGACAAACAGTTCCTGGTGTAGTTTTCTGCTGCTGGGATAGAACAGAAAGCATTTTAGCTGGACAAAAAGACATCTTTTTTAGAGTAGGTTCCCGTTTGGTGCATCTCTATGCTGTTTTCTATCACAGTTCATGCCTGCACAGTGAAATCAGTCCTCCTCACCTGGGCTGATTGCATGATGTGGTCTTCCTTCTTTAGGTAGCTCAGCTGTCATCTTGAAAGCCTTAATCCTCCAGTTCTCGCTGCGTCAAGGAAGCCAGAACTGCCTGGTGCTGTGACTTCAGTGAGTGGGATTTGGCTCTTCTTTCTGCGGTGACTTTTTTTTTGTCTTTTTCACAGACCATGTGGGTGTTGACAGTGATCACACTGTTCCATACCACTACTTCTGCTTTCGAACTGCCTGCTGCTGCTAAGTCTCATCATAAAAACAAATGGCCTTAGCTGCAAAGCATGAGGATACACTTCTCCACCCTCAGCTTGGTGGGAGATTGCAGCCTGTTGTATCAAGGCATCCCTAATGGCTTCTGTGTTGGCTGCCTCTGGGGACTGAGCATGGTCCTACAGAAGATAGGTGCAATTCCAAAGGCAGATATTCTATGTACACTCTCCATGCTCTGCTGATTACTGCTTTTACCCTACAGAACAGCAGGTCATAAACAAAGTTTGTGTCTATGTAATGAAGATGCGCTACTGAACAGTTTTTAGGTATTGTGTCAGTTTAGCTTGATGATGGCTTCCCTGGGAAGTCATACATTTTAGGAACTATGAACCTGTTAAATTCAAGGTTGATGATCCTGAGAGTGTAAGACAGATTGCTGGCCAACACACCTTCAGAGCAAAATGTGAACGCCTGCTTTCTTGTCAATGGGTTTTCATCAGCTACACCAGAAGAGTAAGAGAAGGGAATTTGAGAGCAGATCTAAAGAAACAAAAATGAAAACTAGTATTAAAAAGATTTGGTCTCCCTCGCTCTGCAGGGAGGGGTGAAGAATCACAGGACACGTCTCACGTGCCTTAGATTTTATTCTTTCAAGCAAGCTTAAACATGCAGATGACAGAGGCTGATGAATCCTTGGGTAGCTACTTGTAATGCAGCAAGCTTCTGCGTTTTGTTGTGCTGACTTTTGGAACTGAAAGTATGTTGTTTATGTTGGGATCATCTGAGCAGATCTGTTTAATTGTTTATTTTCAGGAAATAAATTTCAGGAAAGAATTGCCTCTTGTCTGTAATCTTCTTCTTTCTGATGTTAGTGGCAACCTTACATGGGAAGATGGATGGGATCTGTAGTGCTGAATCTGTATATGGCCCAGTCACCTCACAGGAAGAGGGTTGTCTCCTATGGCATTGTTGGATAACATCCATCTTTGCTTTTGGGGGGAAGAAAAAAAAAAAAGCCCTGCTAGACTGTAGTATTGGCCTCTCTGAGAAAAAGATGGAGGAATTTTTTACAATCTGTGGAGTCAGAGTGCTAGAACCATTCAACTTGCTTTGTTACTCTTAGTTTTTTACTGAAGCACTAGGAAAGCTGGAGCTCAGTCTCAAGTTTCCTCTTCCGTGCTCCACTACTGAAGACGTAATCCATGTTTACGAGAGCCCTGCCAAGTTCAGTATTCACTCGACTGCCAATAGTCTGGTTGGTCGAGTTGGGAACTTCGCTTGAGAACACAGACGCATAGTTTGGCAGTGGCTTCTGCTCCTTTTTCTTACCCTGGATAAAACACAGACCATTAATAAGTTTTCAGAACTACACCCATAGCTCACTACAAAAATAGAAGTTACTGAGATTGTTATTCATATCAGCACTTCTGCTTTTGAAATTAGAATCTGAATGTGCTTTAAAATGTCATACTGAATGTACATGCAAGTGTTGAAGCAATAGTTTTACCTTATTTCTTTTTCCTTACATGGAAAGAGGAAAACACAGGGAAATGAATAGTTTTCGTATGTGTTACATAAAATGTCAGCTGGGACAGAAGTTAGCCTGCTCTAGAATGGCCGTGATATGAGAGGCTTTTTGGTTTTTTTGTAGTAAGTGGCTTGGATTTCAGCGTGGTGACATTATCTTACATATTTTCTCCCTGGAAGTTGGTTCTTCTAGGGCTCGTCTTTCTATGGCATTGTTACTATTGAAACAGATTGGACACACCATGTACCATATTTCTTTGTAGTGTAGGTAGCAGATGAAAGGCACTTCAGTTCTCTTTTATTTTTCCTAAAGATTTTAGTCTTAAAGCATTTGCAGATTATGCTGAAGTATGCTTCAATTTGAAATATTTGCCTCATTCAAATGGATGAAAATTAAAAAGAGCTTGGATTACGGTTAGATGTTTGTTCAAAACTTACCATTTGGTCATAGTCCTTCAGGAAGCTCCAGTTCTGGCACCTTGGAATAGAAGTAAAAAATACAGTGTAAAATTTACTGTCTTTAAATTAGTTAATGTTGGTTGTATTTGAACACCTATTTAACTGCTCAGTTGGATACTTACAGCCCAGCTTTTACAACTGCAAATTCTTTGTACTGTGTGCTAGGTTTAGTCAGGAAAGAGTTAACTCTCTTTACAGTGGCTGGTATGAAACTGTGTTCCTGGATTTATGTTGAGAAAAGTCTGATAAGGTGTCTTTTTAGCTGGCGCTGGCAATGCCTACACCAATTCAAGGTCTTTCTCATCTTCTGATACTGCAGCTGCATTCTCAACTCTCTCACACACAGTTCAGGCACCTGACCCCAACTGACCAAGGGAGTATTTCATGCCATAGTACGTCATGCTCGGGACAGAGGTGAGGAGGGGGTCTGGGAGCCATTATTCTCTCCCTTACTCTCTTGCTCGTTGACTTCCTGGCACTTGCTGACCCTCTCCCTGACTCCTGCATTAGCTGCTTTGCCGACTCCTGTGCTGGCTCATTCATGAGGGAGTTGGTGGGTTTGTTTAGTTTTCCTGGTCGTTCTTTTGCTGAGAGGGTTCGCTTGAAATCTGTTGCAACAGCTCTCAGGCTCTGGCCCTGGGCTGCGGCTCTCGGGCTGTGATCACTCTCGGGCTGCAGCTTTTGGGCTCTCTGGCTCTGACTCTCACTACTCAGCACCTGGTTGTGCATTGGTCAGTGGGTGGTGAGCAGCTGTATCATATTGTATCATGTGTTATCATATGTTTTATCTTCTATTATTTTAATTACTTTTTAGCAGTGGTATTTGTATATATTAATTTAGAATCAATTAGTAAATAGTTCTTATCTCAATTTTATGAGCTTCCTTATTTCTTTTTCCTCCAATTCTCCCCCTCCACTGGAGGAGGGGAGGAGAATTTGTGAGAGCAGCTTCGTGTTATTTTGCTAGCCAGAGTTAAAACATGACATACTGAAATCTGTCTTTTCTGTGGTGAAGCCCAGGGTTTTCTTTATTCCCATATGGAGCCCATACCACATGAAGAGTGTTGTGTTTTTGCTAAAGGAAGATGAGGATAGCATGTTCACCGTGGATTCCTTGTGCAAATGCAGATAAATTAGCAAAGTCCTGAGTCACTCTAGCAAACTTCTGTCCCATGTCTTGAGTTAGATACAGCTTCTTATTTTTCAGATAACTGGAAGAAGTTCCTGGTAGGAATTCCCAGAGCCGTATTTGCTGCAGGCAAACACCCACGGGGATATTTTGTGCAGATAGGCAGCTGTGCTAGGAGCAATTTGAGGAGTTAAAAGAGCTGGGTTTTACTCTTCAGCTCTTTTCTATACCTGGTGTTGGACTACAGGACAAACCTTTTGGTTTTCTGTCCTTTGCTTTCTCTGACCTGAAAAGGAGAAAATGAAAGTTCACCTGCTGCTGTAAAAGTGCTGTGAGGTCAAGAGAAGAAACAGTTCCCTACATCTGTATTTGCAGCAGGGCTCATGGGACACGTGGGTTGAGTCCCTGAGCTCGTTACCTGTGTCCATACAGTGCTGCGTCTAAGCTCATGGATGAGCTGAGCTTGTCTGTACAGCACAGCCGTGTACCACGCGGAGCATTGGATTTCTGTGCTGCACTCCCCTGTCCAGTGCAGATATGCCCTGAGTGCAAGGAAAAGCTGATTTATGATTGTTGTGTTTATCACTGTATGTCTTGGTATACCAGCACAGCATAGAGATTCTAAAATTTGTTACCTTGCTATGCCAGCCACTGTTTGAACATATCAGATTTGGGTCTTACTGGATAGTGCTAATTACTGAGAAATGCATAGGTCTCAGACATGTACCTATATCCATTTCAGGTCAGACCACCAACATGCAGCAGTCTTTCCCCATCATTGTTTTGGGATGGGGATGTGGAGCTGAAGGACAGTTCTTTGCAGACTGTAGCATATGTAGTCTGATGAACCCGGCTTGAGGTACGTGTCCTTCACAGGTCTCTCTACCCTTTTACTAGAGTTCCTGTCTTTGTAGGTAAGACAGGAGAGCAGGACATGCGTCAGCTGTATGATGTGCTATGTTACATACCCATGGAAGTGAGTTTGCACCCGTATCCATGACCTGGGGAGCAGGAACAGGCAGAGTCCTTCTAGCTGCCTTAGCTAGGGAGTTGCATGGAACATGCTGGGGCCATGTGGGAAGAGTTGGGGTGCACAGCTGGGGAGAACAACATTGCCTTCCTGGGCCTTGGTTTTGCATGAGTCAGAGTCCTGGTGTCAGTTTTCCCTCTGGTGAAAGGAGACAGACAAGAGTGCAAATGCACCTTTGGGGAAAACAGCTCTGATTTGTATCTCCTCCAGAAGGCTGAGGAGGATGGGGGTTTTCAGACTGCTTCTTTTCCCATTCTAAAAAATCCTGAGAGTGGTGTTCTTTCTTCTCCCTTTCCTTAGCTTACCTAGTGCACAGTCAGAACTGGATCTGATTTTACCAACGATGTTTTTCAGTACACAGCATGCACATGCCTATCAGAAGTATGAACATAAGCACTAATTCAAGATACATGGCAGAGACAGAGAGGATCTTAATTTCAGGTTCCTTCTGGCTGCTGGTGTATACACAGTCCAAGCTTAGGCTGCATGTGTGCAGTTCAGTCTGAAACACTCAGACAATGGAGCATGTTCAGTACATTTACAGATTGGGAATACAAAATCGTATTTTGGCAGAACACTCTGTACATCTTCCACTTCAGCCATTTCCAAAAATTTGTGAAGAGGTGATACTATCAGTGTGTCTGCAACAAATTATAAAGGTTGGCACATTTATATCTTCATTGTGGAAATCTCTGTAAAGCTAAAAGGTACTTAGCATGCAATTCTTTGCAACTCTTCTCAGCGTAAGCCCAACATGCCAGGAGATATTAGCATAGATTTTGTCCAGTGAAGGAAAACAGAAACAATACAATATTAGAAAGAAAGTTGTTAGGCTCTGATCCAAAGTTCCTGCAGAAAAAAATTTCCTTTGATGGGGTAGGCTTTGGATCAAGCCCTAAGACTGTCAGGGAGCATCAGTACCATTGTCAAGGTGCATAGAAGAAGCATGAACAAGTGACTTACCAGATTTTTCTTCCTCTCTGTTCAGCCTCCATCTTATCCGGCTGAACCCGGTCCTGTTGCAGTGCTGCCTGCTCGTCCGCCGAGGCCTGAGGAGCCGGTTGTGCAATGACAGGTCTTCTGGGATGGGTGCTGCGGAGAGATGCAGATGGAGCTAAGGCTTGTTGCTCAGGAGGTGTGGTTGCTGGTTGCCAAGACCTAACCAAGGTATTTCTCCTGAATCCAGAACCCTTTCCTGACTTGTCCATTTTGAGACTCGCTTTATCCCCAGTATTCTTAGGTATATTGTGACAGGTATTGTTTGTCCTTTCCAAGCTCCTTCTCTCCTAACATTTTCTTTTAGCTGCTGATTTGGAGTGCTTTCAGAAAAGAAAGGTGCATGGCAGCACTGACAGGCAGTGCTCGGCACAGTTTTGCTTCCCTCTTATTTAATGCTCATTTCTTACTGCTTTATGTTGCTTCATTGCTTGAATGCTGAGGGAGTTTTCTTGGTAACAGCAATTTTGTAAGAAATGACTGTTACTGAAAGCCATCGGATCTCCAGTTGTATCCAGCAAACTCTCTGCTTAGGAAGTGATTACTGCTTCTTGCAGCTGAGACCACTCTCCCTTCAAAATCCTCAGAACAATCAAGTCTGGTTTAGTAGCAAAGAGTGCTGTGGAGATTGCTCCTGAGTATACAAGGAGGGCTTTTGTTGTGGTTATGTAGCAGAAGCAAAATCTCCTGGAAGCTGCTGGTTTCCCTGGTGTGTTTACTGTCTCCATTGGAAACGAGTCTGACTTGTGAATATTCACCAGAAGGCGAGCAGACACCCAATGGGACAGTTGCTCTGGCCTTGAATGCTATTTGGGCCAGATCTTGGATGTTAAAATAATGCATTTCAACAAAGCTGAAAGCTCTTTATTTTCAGATTTTTAAAAAAGAGCAGCCAGAGAGCATCAAAAGTCCTTTTTAAGTACTTAGGGATTTCTGCAGAAGGTATTAAGCAACTATGAGAGATAGTTTTTAAGTAACCTTAAAGGGTTATTAGTATACAAAGAGATAATTTTCAAAACAGTGTCCAAAATGTCACTCTTTGTCTTTACAGTCAGCCTGTTGGGATTTTGTGGTATGAATTCGCTTCCTCAAGTATTGTAACTTTGCAGGAAAACGAAGTACTTTAAGTATAAATTCCCTCTGAAATTCTTGACTGACTTGTTTTTGAGTAGTGTGGGTTAGCTCCAGATGAGTTTGACCTGCTTGCTTCATCTTCCTGATAAATGCTAAGGAACTTTAATCTACTCCTTTAGGGTTTTTTTTGGCAAAATTATTTGCTTGCAGTATTGGGAAATACATGCTGAATTTGGCAAATAATTCAGTTTAAAATAGTTACAATTATACAACAATCCAAATGCTTCACGTAGACATATTTGAGCAAGAAATATTTCTATATTTGGAAAATTATTCTGACTTTGAAGATTGCAATAATATAACTTAAAAAGAGGTAAACACCTCAAATCACAATGTTTGCTTTGGGTTTGAATGAAATTTTAGTAGACTGTTTGTTTGCTTGTTTTTCTGAGATAACTGGAACCTAAGCAGTGTTTTTCATCTCAGCCAAGAAGCAAAAAGTCACGTATCCACACAGCATTATCATGAACTGAAGAAATGAACTGTTTGCCAACCTGGCCTGAGAGTTGTCTCTGTTTCTCTTTTGGAATCTGCTTATCCTGCTGCATTTGTTCCAGGGTCCTCTCCAAGCTGGAGCATGTACAGCTGGTTGGAGGATGGGCTTTAGGCAGCATCTAACTGCTTTAAGAGGAAGCTGAGGCACGTTTGGAAGTCCCAGTGCATTAATCAGTACACAGCGGATTTTGGCTCCTAATCAGGTCAGGAAAGAACCCTGATGGGAAGTCTGCTCCTGTGCACAGAGCACTTTTTACTTCTTGTTTACAAGGTTCTTGTGTTATTTTAATCCTTCCTTCAAGTCAATTTCTGCAAATTAAACATAATAACAAACTAAAAATGGCTATTGAGCTGTGTAGATAGGTTTTAAATGGCTACTTGTAGCCACTGAATAACCTGGACGGAAAGATTACAAGCAGGTGTTCAAAGCCAGTGCCATTGAGTGGTGTCTGCAAAGATGCAGGGGTTGTAACTGCCCCCGTTTTGGTGAAGGACTACAAAATGCTTCTCAGAACTTCTTACTGAAAGTGAACTCATAGGTCTAAGCCAGATCTGTTGGTTTGAGACCTTGCAACCTCAGAAAAGAAGGAAGTCATAACTGTTTAGGACTTCTTTAGGCTTTAAACAGAAGTAAGCTGTGAGTCTACACGCAGGTACTGGACACTTCATGGTGTTCAAGCCATTTCTACACAAATAAGAGATGGGGATGGGATCATGTCTGTTTAAATAAGTTGGGTTTTAAAAAATCTTATAATAACATGACTTTAAAATGTAGATCACTAAGAACTGATACTTTGAAAATTATCCCATTTTCTCTTGGGACTGGATGTCATTAAGGGGGTGGTTATGCATCATTACAGCACATCAAAGTGAGTGCAAGGATGACATTTCTGGGCATTACTCTAGATTCCTTGCTGGATATACTAGTAGCCTATTTAGGCCATTTGCTAGATTAACAGCTCAGTAGATACTGAACTGTTTCCCCTCATATTACTATCTGCCAGTTTAGCATTTTATTTGTTCATTATAACAGCACAGGGCATTTAAGCAGGGAGTTAATTTGAATTGGTACAACTGATTTACTGTGTACTTCTTTTGTTCCTGTAGTAGAATAGGGTGATGCTTATTGTGCCTTCATGCCATAAATATGTAAATTGATTATAGCATCTTTATTTTTTTCTGGCAGGGGACACAAAACTTTGAAAAAAGTTATGAGTGTGACTGTAGGAGATGGTGCCTTTGCTTAGGCGTTTAGGGATTAGATTATCTGACAAGCAGTGTTGGTGCCCATCATTCTGAGGACGAACTTGACTGAGGTTAGCCTTCTCTTGTTGCCAGACAAGTGATGATATGCACTACAAATTCATCTGTGAAAAACATTTAAATTATTTCCCCTGTCAAAGGAAAAGATGTCTAGAGAGGCTTTTTATGGAGGAAAAAGTTCAGGTGCTTAGACAAAACATTTTTATTTGACCACAAGAGGGTATTGCAGTATCAGTTATGCAAGACTTGAGCATAAGTGGCTTTGGCTTTATATGCACTGCTTTGTTTTTAAAATGCACATTTCTCGAAATTGGTTATTTGCATTAGGTAGTAGTTAAGAAAATCAAGTTTTGTATGCTAGTATTTGATGTCCTTGTCCAGAGGCAATTTTAAAGTTGTTTTTTCTAAATTTGGTTTTGTTTTTTATAGTAACAAATTTTCTGACGCTCAAGAAGTTCTCATAGATTTTGCTGGAAGACAGGAACTTCAGAGGCTTATTCCAAAACACTGAAAAACTTAATGGAAATTGCTTAGTTAAATGCAAGAATGTATCAGTTACCAAAGAGAAATAATAACAGGAGATGAATACGTTGCTGCTTGGGTTGGAAGTGCGTGTTGTTCTAGGATGGGGGCTGTCAAAGTCACTGAGGCTCTGATTGTATTTTCCCATGTGTTCCTACCTGCAGGAATAAGGTCTGAAATCTTTTTTAGCTCATTTGTGTTTTCCAGATTTCGTCTTCACATCCAAGTCTCCTACATTATATATCCCATGTTGGTTTGCACTTTTTCCACAAGTCAGTGCTGTGTTGGGATATTCTCCTAGAAAAGTTATGTCTTCTAGACTTTAAGGACTGTGTTGCCAAATGTTAATGCCATGTTTTTGCAGTTCAGACCGTGGAGGAAGCAGCTAGAAGGATTTCTGGATTCTCCCACTTGTAGATCTGCTGCTGAATTTAGGAGGAGATACATGGTATGCCTGCCTGTCTCTCAGCAAGCCCACTTGTAGAAGAAAGATCACAGCTCTATCACCTTATCCGTGAAGTACAAATTTCTGAGGGGTGTGATAGTAACTTGATGGGCAGCAGAGCAATTTTCGTAGGAGAAAGTTTGTGAGTTATTGCAGAGAACACAGACATTTAAAACCATAGGTGCAGTGTGTCACGTGTGAGTAAGAGGCAGGAACAAGATCGTCAGCTGGAGGTGAGGGCAGCTCTCTGGAGAGCAGCTTTACAGAGCAGATCACCATTCAGAAGATCTCTGCCACTTCATGAATGGGATGGGGACCCCCATGTACGTCTTTCAGTATCAGTAGTGTTGCCTGCCTTGAATACTGGCATTTATGTTGTCACCATCTTCCTTGAATGAATGAAGATCAGTCAAGTCACTCTAAGATTGCAGGCTAGAAAATGGGTTGTGGTGGTGGTTAGCAGAAAGGGGTGTTAGATGATCAGTGGGAGGATGCTAAGCACCCAGCAGGTGCTCACTGACCCTGGGCGTTAACCATCAAGGGCCTTAGAAACCCTGGAGGTGACAGATCCCGCTGGCCTTGGTCTGAGGGAGCAGAGTGCCGTGGGTTGCTGTATGCAGCCAAGATGAAAACAAATCCTGCAAACTACCAGTTTGGAGTAAAACTTGTTTTAAGTAGTTATGTAGCTGCTTAATTAAAGGCAGATTAAAGGCCTCATGCATTAAGTTTTGCTGTAGCTTTCATAAAAAAAATACAGGCTTCTTTCTTGTCTTCGTAGAGTTCTTCTAAGAGAGCCTGGCAGTTGAGTGTCTGTTGCGTCGGCAGCGTACAAATATCACTGAGGGTATGTCTGCTTCCAGTGACACAGAGTCTGACACTTCAAAATAAAATCAAAGCTGTAATGCAGACTGGAAGAAATCTGTTGTGAATTTTTTTGTTCCCTTCTTTTAATATAAAATTTGAGTTTTACAAAATATGTTAGCTACTGATATGCAGTTTGCCTTACTTGAAACAAAAATGTTTTATTTGAAAAAATATTATTTACTTGAAAAAAATATTAAACTGCAGCTATTCGATAGAATATTGTCATGGTTTAACCCAGCTGGCAACCCAGCACCACACAGCTGCTCACTCACTTTCAATTAACTCTGTCCCAGCTGAAACCGGGACAGTATGCAGGCCTGTTACATCAGAGTCATCTGCTTAAACCTGCCATCTGAGCAAGGTGATGGGATCTCAGGGAGGGAGTGCTGCCGGGCTGGTGTGTGAGTAGGGGTGTTAGGAAGGATCTGGTTTCACAAGCAGTAACTATAAATATAAGAAGTGTTCCTCACCGTCTGAGTCTTATGAATG